AAACATAGGTGTGTCCCCCCTAGAAAGATGGCTCCAACAAAAGAATGCAAGTGAAATGCTCTGTAAATGATGAGTTACTACTACTGTGCTCACAGATTATCGCCAGTAAGAAATGTGTGACCCTCAACCCCGAGTGCAAAGAATTCAAAAAGAACACGCCAAACCAATCACACAGAGAGCAAGAAGCTGTGTTTGTGTAACCCTGTGAGCCAAAAAAGTTTAAGGGAATGATGGGAAGGGACAAAATTATATTAAAACCGGCATGGAGATAATATGAATTTATGAGCCAAATAAAATATTCATGCTCTATGTATTCTTGAAAGTTATATTTATTTTCCTACAACCATATAAAGGAAACAGGATAAGTTTGTTCAGAAAAAATTTCATTAAACCAATAATACCTAATAAATACAGAATATAAATAATATCCCAGAACCAGTGAAGGCTTTTCTTTGTTACGTGTTCCGTTTCGATTAGCACCATGGCCGTCCACCTCGTCATCCACCTCAGGCCTGCCCTCCCCTTCTCTCAACTCCCCATACGTCCCATCAACACTAGTTCTAAGCGTTTAACCTTTACCTTGTACCTCCTGTACCTCAACCTCCCTCCCTTATCACCCGTACTTACCTACCCCACTCTCTACCCTAGAAGCCTTTAGAGGGGATGGAACAGGCTCCCTTCACCGTGTATCTCCTAATCTAAGACTTGCTGGGGGAGGGCCCACGTCCCGGGGGCAGTGCCGCAGAGCCCGAGGACTGGGCCTTCCCCAGCAGCGCGCCTCCGCTGGAGCAGACACCTGCGAGGCGGGCTTGCAGGTGAGAAGCTGTGGCGCTCTGCGCTGGAGTCGGAAGTGCAGGAGGGTGGGTGCAGGGGCTGTAAGGGAAAAGCCCCTTCTCCCCGCATTCATTGTTCCTTCTGGTTGGCAACTGCACACCGAAGTGGTCAAGAACTGGAGCCCTAGGGTCACAAAGAACTGGCTCTGAGACCTACAGGCTGTGTGACCTTGGGCAAGTTATTTAGCATGTTCCTTGTAAAATGAAGCTTATGAGAGCACTCAATGGGGAAGGGCAGCGCAGGGAAATAACGCTTGTAAGGTGCTCTGCACAAAGCTGCCAGTAGTGGGCGCTCCATTACCATTAGCTATTCTTGCTCTTTTCTCACCATTATGGCTCCGCTAACACCCCACTGAGGGGCTGAAGTTCAGAGATAAGTTTGAGAAGATATCACTACCATCCCCTCTAACCTCTAACTCTGAGATCAGAAGGCAGGCAGGCAGGGCAGGGAGAGACTAGAGGAACAAAAATGAAGAAGTAGGCTAGTGAGATCCTCTGTCCCTATCTCTTTTCTCTTTCCTTAATTCTTAGTCTCCTTTAAATTTTCTTCCTTTTTTTACCCCTGCCCACCTTTTTTCCTGTGTGAGCAATAGGAAGAACATGGAATATGGGGTATGTCAGGCCTGAATTCAAATCTTATCGGGTCACATACATTTGTTTAGCCCAAGGAAAGATATACCTAATGTTGCAGAGCCCTATTTTCAGCTCAGCTGTAAAATAGGACATGAATACCTACAAGTGGAGCCAATGAATGTACACAGAGTCCCTAGCACCATGTGACACAGTGAATGCACTTAGCAATGTCAGTTCTGGTCTCTGGGGATAGTAACCCCAGGTCTTTCTTTGCTTCTCCTCCCGTGGCTCCTCGCCCACCTCATTTCTCTCCCATTGGGGTATATGATGGTTAGTTTTATATGCCGACTATGGTAAGCAGTTCCTATTTAGATGTAATTAACCGTTATAGTCAGTAGACTTTAAGTAAAGCAGGTTGCCCTCCATAATGTGGGCTTCAGAGCAGATTTCCCTTGAGGTTTCTTTCCCAAAGAAGCGGTAATTCTGCTTCCAGGCCACAGCACAGAAATTCTGCCTGAGTCCCAGCTTTTGGCCTTAAGGCTGCAGCATCAACTTGCATATGAATTGCCAGCCTCTCAGCTGACTCTACAAATTTTGAATTTGCCAGCCCCCACACCCACATAAGCCAACTCCTTAAAATAAACCTCTATCTATGTGTCTCCTCCTGTTGGTTCCATTTCTCTTGAGCACTCTAGTGTAAGGTGCTACCCTGATTGGCTAACCCATCACCCTGATTTGGCCACATGACTAGTGGGCAGAGAGAGACCCAGAGTCCATTTCGAGGCCAGCTCAGGTAGAAATAGCTGCTTGGTTTCTCCTTTTCAAGCAGTTCGCCATGGAAGGAGGTTCAGACATCTTGCTCGTTTTCCTTAGCTTCTTCCTCCCATGTGGATAAAACAATGTCCTGCGCATCAGAGCTGACTAGAAGGCTGAGCCCTCTACCAGGCCACTCTTTGGAGGGCTGGAGGATGTAGAGAACAATGTGCTTTATCACCCTTATGTCTTAGTGATTATACCAATCAATCCAGAAAATCCTGATGGGACGTTGTGGGGTGCAGTACACAGAGAAGGCAGGAAGCCAGTTTTCATATAAAACTAATGCTAATTCCTCACATCTTAAGAGAAGATTAAGCCTAGCTTAGGAAAGTTCTCAGCATTGGGTGCGAGGTCAAAACCACAACCAAAATCTACAATTAAAACTTTGTTAAATTTTTTTTTAAAAACCCACAGCTAGTAACAGCATTACTCAGCTATTGTTAGCTAGGAGCTCATGGTGAGAGATAATTGGTCCAGGGCAATATTCCAAGAGCCCCTGGTCAAATACTATTTTAATACCATCAATATCTCACACTGGCTTTTAACATCTGCTGTGTCAGCACATCATTGCTAATGTGAGTAATAGTCCCTTTGGTACACCTGCTTTGCCTTTTTAAATTATTGTTAGTCTTTCCCCATTCCTCTTCCTTCTCTTTTCCTTTTCTTCTCACCTTTCTCCTCTTTAATTTTCACCTCCTTCCCTTTCCTCTCTTTCCTCACCGTTCTCATTTGAGTGCCTCCCCTCTCTCCATCCCTCCCCCGTCAGGACCACCCGGAGAAGCAGGGCAACGCGTCCTCCTCCAGGCCCTGTGCCCTCTGCCCCGCCACGCAGGCGAGGTCGCGTTAAAGTAAAGCATCAGGAGCGGCTCTGAGCGAAAGGGCCCAGAGGGCACCCGCCGGGACAGCAGTCTGCAGGTAGGATGCGTGCGCAGGCAGGGAACGTGGGGGAACCTGAAAGGATGAGAGACGGCAGAGAGAGCGGGACATTACATGCTTCATCTTTTGAGTCACACAGTGCAGAGCAGTGGCTAAGAGCATACGTTCAGGTGCCAGACTGCTTGGGTTTTAATCTTAGTTCCCCTCATTTCTAGCTACATTACTTGGGGCAGGTTATTTAACTACTCAGGGCCTTAGTGTCCTCATCTATGACATGAGAATGGTAATACAGCTACCTCACGGGGTTATTTGGAGGATTACAGCTGGAAATAAATACCTTTTATGTGCTTAGAACACTGCCTAGCACAGGGCAAGTACCCAAGAAACACTAGCCAGCTCCTCTCAGTGCCGTGGGAAACTGAGGCAGCCTACAAGAATCAAAACCCGCCTCTCACCTTGGCATCTCTGAAACCCAAGAGAAACCTGGCCCTGTGCGAGAGGGGAGAGGGACAGTACCATCAAGGCCAAGGGGCACAGGTCCAGGCAGTTTATAATGGAACTTTTATGCGTTGATGCATAGAAAAAGCATACTATGGGTTAAACAGAACTTTGGCACTGGCCTGACACGCTAACCATCTGTGTAAGTACCGTGTGCTAACCAATCCAGTGGAGAACCACTGGATCTCCACACGCTAACCATCTGTAACAATGGGTATAACACAGGCAATGATATTCCGAACTCCAAATGTCCACCTTACCAGCAATCTTTTGGGACACTTCTACATCTTTTTAGGTGATCCCTGCCTACAACTCCAATGGGTACATAAATTCCCACAAAACTTAAATCTCAAGTTTAGTGCGCCATGAACGTTTCTCACATTTGAGTGTGCTACATATGAAAAAGGTTCAGAAGCGTGTCTTAAACATGGTACTTAGCTATAGGTTATGTGTCCCTTTAACTGTTTCTTTGATTTTTCTTGATAATTCTTTCAGATTTTATAATTTGTCAATTCTCTTTTCCCTGTTTTTAACTTGAATCCTGAGTATGTGGATAGAGAATTTGGACCATTTTCATACTGAAGCTTGACAGTGGCCTGTAGGGGCCATTCTTCTGAGAGTTAAGGTTCTTGGCTCCAAGTGGAAGATCTGCACCTGTCAGCCATGTGGGTTAATGATGGAGTAAGGGGTCGCCACAGGAGGAGACTCTGGGTCCAGTTTTAAATATTCGCAAATATTGTGGGGCAGCGGTGGGGGCACAAAGAAGAATACAAGTTTTATCTTTTAGGATGCCAAGCTCCTCAGAGGTGACTAATGAACGTAAAGGAAGCCGGTGCTGCACTTTAGGGGAAAAAATGTTATTATTGGCCCTCCCACGTTTGGAAAGATGAGGTAGGGAAATGAGGAGAGACTTTAAGGGGGCTGCACTGGCCACATTTCTCCTGCATAGCTGGCCACCTGAAAGGCCACAGGGGATCACTCCCAGGACACAGAAGAGTCAGGAAACCCGCGGGAGGGAGGCTCTAAGGAGAAACCCAGGGAGACCTTCTTCTCCTTCCCCCTTTGTTCCTATTTCACCTTACACAACAGTAACTTATCACATTGCACATGAACTGTTTGCCTTTCCCAGCACACGGCAAGCTCCCGGAAGGCAATGGGTTCCTGCATTTCATGTGCCAACACCGGGCACCATGCTCAAATCACAGAAGACATTCAATGATATGTTTCTTGAATAACTTAATAAAGGAGTTCATCAAACACTGGAACTCCTTAGTATGGGAAAGAGGAGAGGAAAAGGGTTTGAAAATGTAACTTTGATGGCTTAGAAGACAAAGGGATAATGTGTCTGTTAAAAATAATAATACACCCTACATTAAAAAAAAAAAAAAGAATAAGGTATCTTACCTGGTGACTACTGGTCTCAGATACTTTAACATCCAAAGACCCTGCCAGGACAGCATACCAGTTTGTTCCAATGTCACCTTGACGAAATACTGAAAAAGAAACAGTAACGTAACTGTACTGAACATAAGTTGATTTTACTGTATGCCCTTCTAGTTTCTCACTGGTATTGTAAGTGTGACTTGGACCTCACTGAGCTTATGACTCTTCCTCTACTTTTTCAACAAGAACATGATATATTTTCTTTTCCTCATCTATCAACAAGGCTATATCCTCTTTATTCAATATTCTGTGAAGTAAAATGCTATTTAAACATAACTCTTTCATATTTACAGAGCAGTAATAAGGGATGATAACCCTAAATAGTATATGATCCTTTGAATTTAAGAAGAACTGAGTGATGGTCTATGCAATTTATCTTAACTACACTTCAATGTATTATGATTCTTGGAAAATTATTATTCTAGATAGGGTACATATTAACAAGGCTACCTGACTCAACAAAACCAAACCTCTATCCCAATTTCTTAAATCTATTCATATTAAAAGCAACATGTTTTCTAGCATAGACTGTCTCTGTTTAAGCTAAACAGTGAATGATTAAAAAATTGCAATCTGCTTTAAAAGTTTCAGAGATTATATTATCACTATCCATTTTCTTTTTTGTTCTTTTTTAAAATAAATTCATTGCTGTAGGCATTAGGGGTTAACAGGTCTTTGGAAATGACTCTTCTCAAGCATTTCTGAACCTGATTGTGCTTTGTTTTTGGTACTGTCAGAGAGGAAACATTTGAATATTTAGATAGAACCTTAGTTCCCATGTCAGGTTAAGACCAGAACTTGGGAAAGTCATTCTGAAATACTGTGTCAAAAATCTTGTATGAATCCAACAAACCTTTTAAATATTCTAGCTAAATAACCAGATGGAATGATCTGATATTCTAAAAGTCTTTCCATGGTTAAAATCAGAGGTCTAATGACTCAATGAGAAATCACATGACAGCTCAGTAGGCCAGCAGAATTCTGGCAAGGCTAGTGCTTCCTGCAGGAGAGCAGGCCTCTGGGAACCTAAATTAAGGCCGACAAGCTGCTCTAAACTCCCTGCCTAAGACATGCTGTGGAAAGGCGAAGAATGAGGATGGCATCCTACCAAGTGCAATGATAAGCTTAATGGGGAATTGATGAGTTTATAGCCAGCCTCTCCAGTAACTGCTGTTCCTAGCCTTTGTAAGGGACTTATATTAGAGTTAGGGCTTTGCCTTTCATGAACTTTCTGGCCCCAAAACACATTATCATTTGCCAGTCAAATATTAACACGCTATATCATAGAAGATTCATTTTGAAAATGGCTTTAAGAAACAGAAAACAGCCTCATCCTAAAGAAAATGAAGTTTTTGATATCAATAATAATAATACTTGAAAACAGTATGCTTGAATAATTTTTTAATAGAAGTGTGACTGTGTTTGGAGGGTACACATGGGAAAATATCTTGAAGGATACACACAAAGTGTTAATAATAATCTCTGGGTTTGGGAATTATAGGTGATTTTTATTTTTTTGTCTTCTAAATTTTCTACAATGATGTTGTAACAGACCCTGTTGATTACCTATCCAGAATCATGCCCTCCCTTCCTCCTATCTAAATGAACATTATATATACAAGAATTATATACAAGTTTCCACCTTTCTTCAAGGACCAAGTGCTCAGACTAAGAATTTCTTTCCTAGCTCCAATGGGATAATAATGATTAGTCTAATTCAATCATGGTGGTCCCATTATCTTTGCAGTGATTGGTTTAAACATGGACATGTGATACAATTCTGGCCAATGAAACAATACAGGAAATCTGCTGGGGGAATCTGAAAAAGAGACACAAAAAGAAATAGCCCTTTGGCAGGATGTTTTTATATCGGTACATAATGGTTCCATCTGCAGTAACTATCTTAGAACCACTTGGGGGCAAGTCTAAGGGAAAAGCCAGCATGTGAGGCTACATAGCAAAAACAAACAAGATGAGAGGGAACTGGGACCTTAATTATGTCATTGAGCCACCTAATTAACCAACCCTGAAGTCATCCTACTTCAAGACTTCTGGTATATGAGTAATTTATTTTTCCTCTTGTATGAGTAATTCATTATTCAAGCCAGTTGGATGGGAGTTTTCTGTTACTGCACCATAAAGCATTCCAACAGATAAAAAAGCATTATTTTTTTAAATGAGAAAATACTTTTTAAAAAAATGTAGCTAACCCTATAAATTGTTTTACTCTCCCTGCCCTTTATTCAAACCTGGAATAGACAATATCGCTGCGGTTAAATCAAAACATTACTATTAGCATTAGTTAAATGACCTTTTATTTTTATTTAATATTCTACTGGATAACATATTTTGGGGGGCTAGAGAAAATAATTATTTGAACTTCTAAAAATACAGCTGAATTAGATGAATCAGCACGTCCTTCCAACTCCATCTGGAAAGAAGGCTGCCCTGGAAGAACCATTTACTCGCTGTGAACAAAGGAGTTAAGGAAACACCTACATGAAACTGAACAAACAGAGTAGAAGGAAATGTCAATCTAATACCTTCAGTTGAAGCTCAAATATTTGGCACAAATATCGCATGGCTACCAATCCCCACGGGGTAACCATGAAGAAGCACAAACCATACATAAAAGTATACTATTGGAGTTGAATTTCTTACATGTTATTCCTTTTTCCAGATTCTCATAGTAACCACATAAACAAATCTGATGAAGAAGGTTTGGGTGAAATTTCTCAAAAGCTTTAACTTCTTTCAGCCGTGTGAAAATTATGTCCACATCTTCACTAGATCGTTCCAATGGTCTACAAAGAAGAGACAAGGCACAAAAAGCTGTATCACTAAGGATTTATTTGAGTCGAGATGCACTGTTTTAGTAATATTCAAGTTTATGCAACTATCCCAATTACAAGTTTTTCATTGTAAATGTTTACCTACCCCATCACGGGTACTTTGAAGCCTTTGTCAACTGTTCACCTTAAATCATGTTTATTACAGATGCTATGACATTGTCATTTATAATAAGAAATATATATATTTTGTCTTTGCCCACTATTTCTAGCTCCTGAAACTTGTAATCTCCTATATAAGAGCCATAGGGGCATCTTTTGTTATAATATTTGGTCTTTTGTCCTCATTTCCTGAAATGCTTCAGAGCCATGAAGGCGAAATGGGTGCCTTGTTACTCATTACCAGTCCCTTTCAGCTAGATCTGAGTGTATGTTAATGAGGTGACTTTTGCAAAGCTCCTAAGTAACCTAAGGATGGCAGCTGGTTGCCAGTGGTTGGAACTTTCAGCCCCACTCCTCACCCTCTGGGGAGGGGGCTGAAGATCGAGTTCAGTCACCAAAGGTCAATGATTTAATCAACTGTGTCTAAATAAAAAGCCTCCACAAAAGTCCTTGAACTAATTACTGGGTTTGGAGAGCTCCCAGCTTGAATATGTGGAAATTTGGGGAGAACAGTGCACTCAAAGAGAGCATGGAAACTCCACGCCCTTTCTCATGCCCGCCCTCTGCACCAATTCCATCTGGCTTCTCCTGATTTTATCCTTGTATTAAAAACTGATAAATTGTTTCTTTTTTAAATAAAAATTAAAAACTAAACTGTTTTCATGAGTTCTGTGAGCCACTCCAGCAAATTAATCAGACCGAAAGAGGAAGTGGTGGAAACTGCTCTGATTTATAATCCCATTGTTCAGAAGCCCAGGTGACAACCTGGACTAGTGGTTGGCATCTAAAGTGTGGGGGTGGGGCACTCGTGTGGGACTGAGCCTTTAACCTGTGAGATCTGATGCTATCCTCAGGTAGACAGAGTCAGAGCTGAACTGAGTTGAGCTAAATTGTAGGACATTTAGTTGGTGTCTCAGAATTGCTCATCAGGTGTCAGAAGTGTTGGGAGTGTGGTAGTAGAGTGAGAGTGAAGGAAACGCAGGAGGAGTGAGTTTTCCCTTTACAGATGCTATAGCAGGAATCCACCTCAGAGTCATGAATTCACGGTGACGCTTTAGGGTAGTGTTTAGTCCCCTAAAAGCACCAGGATATGGTAAGATACAAGAAAATGCAGATTTTACTTAAAATTGAGGTCACAAACACAAATGACTGCAGGCGGCATTCAGGTAAATTATTTAAGTAAAAAAAATCCAAACATAAGGAAGAAAAATCTATGCTATAAGAAAACAATGAAGAGCACAAAGACAAATGAGAATCGATATTCAGCTTCAGTGTTGGCAATCCTATAGAGAATGGAGGGGATCATAGCGAATGCAGAGATGGGACTGCCTACAGGGAGAAGCATTCAGCTGTTTTCCTTATTGCTGGTTTTCTGTGGAAATGGGGCCCAGATATTGTCAGATCTTCCAGTTGTTCAAGGAAAGTTAGATATTTGTTCACATTTCTTAAACATTATGTAGGTCACACATAAAATATCTATGGACTGGATCCAACTTGTTGACCATGATTTTGTATTCTCTGGATTAAGATGAACCAAAGAACCAAACAAAAAATGGAATAGCTTTTGCATATGATATAAACTATTTTCTTTCTTTTCTTTGAAGAGTTTTCAAATCTATCCCTTCTATTTGTTTATAGGATGATATGATATTCCTTGATAGATATTTCACATTATATAGAAACTATGCAGCCTCATGTGTGCCCAAAGCATTCTGGGATCAGAGGAAATAAGCTACACAAGGATGTAACTGATATAATTAGTTCACACTGAGTACCCATGTGCTCCTATAAATTTACCAGCCTCCATTGCAATTATGTTGGATCCATATTCTAGTCAATATATTGTGAACAAAACTAGGATGTATCACTTCTGAGGTGAGAGTGCTGAGAGCCAGGGGGTGTCTGCCATCTCCCCCTTCCTCCCCAAAACTTTTGGTGGGTATTTGGGTTGAACTGTGTCCTTCCCAAAAGATAAGTTGAAGGCCTAACACCTGGTACCTGTGAGTGTGACCTTATTTGGAAATAGTCTTTGCTGATGTAATTGAGTTAACCAGAGGTCATAGTGGATCAGGGTGGGTCATAATCCAATGACTGGCGGTCCTTATAAAAGAAGGGAAATTTGGACCTAGAGACACTGGGAGGATGGCTGTGTGATGCTGGAGGCAGAGGTTGGAGTGATGCATCTACAAGCCCAGGAAGGGTCTCCCCCTAGAGTCTTCAGGAGGACATAGCCCTACTGACTTCAGATTCTATCTTCCAGAACCATGAGAGAATGAATTTCTGTCGTGTTAAACCACTGAGTATGGGGTATCTTGTTCTGGCCACCCTAGGTAACTAATACAGAAGACATGTGTTTCAGAAGCTATAAACACAAGATGGAGAGTTTATGTCAGTGACGAATAAACCTCCACTGGGTGAAGCTACTGAGATCTGGAGGGAAAGGGGCACCATCCACAGCATCACCCGGACTAATACAGAGGCCAGGGCTACATGTGCCCAGGTCCCAAGGAACTTGGGACACTGTCAGAGGAAGACAGATCCCACCATGAGAGATGAGCATTTTGGAAGACACAGACAGATGACCTGTCAGTTGGGGGAACAACGAACACATAGCCTCCATGAGGTTACTTGGGGGCTCTTCACCTGCCCTGTCACACTATCAGGCGCAAGGATGCTAGACTCAAAGAATACGCCCACAACCTCGGCTAGTCTCCCAATTAACTGTACAAGAAGGGCTTGAATTATGCCTCCTAGGAAGGAATAAGGGAAATCCTGCTGCGCAAGTGCCCAGTTTATGGGACCACCTAAGTGCCTGTAAGAGCAGAGAGGTTTGCAAGCTTTACCAGAGAAGGTGTAGCACCTCTGTATGTGCGTTGTAATGTATCAGCCTCTTCCTACCTGTTGGCACTTTGGAAGGGCTTTATAAACTCCCTAGCTACATTCTCCACGTCCAGGGGCCAAAACTTCATCAGTTACCAGAGGGGTGCAGACCACTTTCGACAGGAGCCTCTGTGTGCCCAGAGGGAAGGTGCTCCAAAGGGCTGTGATGGTCGCAGCCACAGCAACGCGGGCACGAGCCTGCAGGCCCAACGCAACAGCAGCTCTGAAGCCACCACAGGAGGAATCCCAAGGATCACAGAAACTGGAAATTTACTGGACATTGATAAGGTGGACCCTACTTAATTACATAGGAAATGTGATGCATGGCGAGTGTCCTATTTTAGGAAGGCAGACCAGGGCAGCTTATAAACATTTTTTTGGCCCAACACTCTGCAGAAGAGACTGGACTCCAGAAAAAAACATAAAGCAACAGGGAGAAAAACATATGTTCTTCCATATAGTCCAAAACAGGCACACGAGAACTTCAGGATTCACAACCGGATATGGGAGGCCAAGTGATAAAAGACACTTGGAAAGACAAAGTTAATCTGAGATAACCAGGAAAAGTTTGAAACCTCTCTTCCTGATATTTTCTTTGGCCATCCCAAATTAGGTCCTAACAATGTCTCCCATTGTTCAAACATTTCAACCATAGAAACAATGAAAAGCAATGTTATCTGTCATTGCTTTTACTGGGTACTTCAGACAGTGGGGAAAATTCCATTCACCTCATAAATAATACCTCAACTATCCCACCTCTGCAATCTACCATGGGTGATGACCCTCCTGCTGCCCTTCTTCTCCTGAGAATTCATGATTTCGGAATGCCACACAGATTCTCATCTCTGCAGAGGCCATGTGTGGTGTTTCCTTTACAGATCCCACAGTACCCAGTAGAGGGCCAAGCATGCCCTTGTGTGTGATTTTCTACAGTGATCTCAGAACAAACTCATCTTCTCTCCCACCTCTGCTACTGCACCTGCGCTCCTTATTTACATGCATGAAGAAGGCTTGTCCCCCCCCTCCCCATGACATCCAGGTAATTCTACCTGCTCGGTCTCTCAAATCTGTCCTCTCCTCCTAGCCTTCCGGTCACTGCCCCAGCTGAGTGTGAATGAAGAGCACACGAAGCCTGTTTTGGGACAAGAAACTGAACAGCATGGCTGTCCTTTCCCAGGAGACTAGAGTATTTGGGTTCCATCGAACAGTCAGCAGAAGCATTTTTAGCAGGGTAGTGATGTGATTGGATGTGCATTTTGGAAAGATCACCTTGCCTGCAAGTAGAGGCAGGTGGGAGAAAGTAAAGGCCAGCTATCGAGAGGCCTGTTAGGAAGCTCTTGCAGCGTATCAAAGTGAGGAGGCGGGCTTCTCTAATTATAACTCATTCCTTCCCGCTTCCTTTACACTCCCTTAATATCCCCTCTACCTGAGGGGATAGCCAGTCCCCTCAGTTAAAATAACTAAAATCTCCAACCTCAGGGAAATTACTTTCCTTATCCTGTCATCTGATACTTGGGCCCATTTTTAAAATAATTTTCTTAAAAACTTCGCTTTTAAAGCATGTTCAGACAACAGCAAAAAGAATCATTGACAAAAGAAGATACAGTGGCGGGCAAGGTTCGAAGGGACTACAGTGACCCCTTGGGTGTGGGCAGGAGCTGTAATTTGTGTTTAGTCAGTAAAACATGGAAAAAGTGGGGCAATATCACTTCCATGACTCTGGTAGGTATAGGACAAAGGTAAGGAGATTTTGCAGATGTAATTAATGTCCCTTGTACAGCTTAGGAAATGTAGTCATAATATTGTAATAACTATGGTATCAGGCGGGTACGTGGGCCGTCCGCAGGAATCACTTTGCAAAGCATGTGATTTTCTAACCACTGTGTTGTACACCTGAAACTAATATAAAATAGTATTGAATGTAAACTGCAACTGAAAAAGATATTCAAAAATTTTTTAAAAACTTGAAGATC